AAATATTTGATAATATTATATCTTTACACAATCTAAATGTATAGAATGTAGTGAAAGGAGACCCTGGTGTGTGTTTTTCACAAGATTCTGCAGTGGAAAATGTGGATTTACACCTATAAATCTTTATTTTATTGGATATACATGGGGCTGTTTCATTATTGTTCTTCAACAAAGTACCCACCATAGCCCAGGCTAGCCTGATCTTGTCAAATCTTGGAAGCTTAGCAAGGTCAGCCCTGGCTAGTATTTGGATGGGAGACCTCCGAGGAATCCCAGGGTTGTGACACAGAGGCAGGCAACGGCAAACCACCTCTGAATGTCTCTTGCCTTGACGACCCTGTGGGGTTGCCATAAATCAGCCATAACTTCCACCACCGCCCACCGTTATGCTATGCCCAAAGGGGGTAGCTGTGAAAGTGGAGCTGATATATTGCAAGGAGTTTGGGTGGAGGGGTTTGCCTCTGGGACTTCTGTGCAGAGACTCAATGCATCCTCCATGGGCTCCCTGTCATCGAGGATCAAGCCATCTATCGCTCCGGTAGACAGCAGGGATCATATTCACTGCAGCTCTGCCATTTTCTCCGCGGGAGTGAATGGCAGCCATTCATTTATATGGAGGAAAGGGGTGCCCTTGTTCTCTAACCATTCTGAACCCAATAGCTGAGTCCAGCCGGGCATTATCGGCATAGTTAAGAACATAAGAGACGCCAATGTTGGATCAGGCCAAAGGCCCATCCAGTCCAACACTCTGTGTCACACAGTGGCCAGAAATACCAGTGCCATCAGGAGGTCCAGCAGTGGGGCCAGGACATTAGAAGCCCTCCCACTGTTGACCCCCCCCCCAAGCACCAAGAAGACAGAGCATCACTTGCCCCAGAGCCCCTAGCTATACCTTGTGGCTAATAGCCACTGATGGACCTCTGCTCCATATGCTTATCTAATTCCCTTTTGAAGCCGTCCATGCTTGTAGCACCCACCACTTCCTGTGGCAGTGAATTCCATGTGTTAATCACTCTTTGGGTGAAGAAGTACTTCCTTTTATCCGTTCTAACCCGACCGCTCTGCAGTTTCATGGAGTGCCCACGAGTTCTTGTATTGTGAGAAAGGGAGAAAAGTACCTCTTTCTTTACCTGCTCTTTCCCATGCATAATCTTATAAACCTCGATCATGTCACCCCTCAGTCGTCTTTTCTCCAAGCTAAAGAGCCCTAAGCGCTTTAACCTTTCCTCATAGGGAAAGTGTTCCAACCCTTTTATCATTCGAGTTGCCCTTTTCTGCACTTTTTCCAAAGCTATAATATCCTTTTTAAGGTGTGGTGCCCAGAACTGCACACAGTATTCCAAATGAGGTCTCACCATTGATTTATATAGGGGCATTATTATATTGGCTGATCTGTTTTCAATACCCTTCCTAATAATCCCCAGCATAGCATTGGCCTTCTTTATTGCAGTCACACACTGTCTCGACATTTTCAGTGAGTTATCCACTACAACTCCAAGATCTCTCTCTTGCTCAGTCTCTGCCAGTTCAGACCCCATCAATGTGTATTTATATTTAGGATTTTTGGCTCCAATGTGCATCACCTTGCACTTGGCCACATTGAACCCCATTTGCCATGTTGACGCCCACTCGCCCATCCTTGACAGATCCCCTTGGAGTGCCTCACAATCCTCACTGGTTTTCACCACCCTGAACAACTTTGTATCATCCGCAAATTTAGCCACTTCACTGCTTACTCCCATCTCCAAATCATTAATGAACAAGTTAAAAAGCAGTGGACCAAGTACTGATCCCTGCGGTACCCCACTGCTTACCACCCTCCACTGAGAAAATTGCCCACCTACACTCACTCTCTGTTTTCTATGAACTAGCCAGTTTTTGATCCATAAAAGGACTTGTCCTTCTATCCCATGATTTTTGAGCTTACTTAGGAGCCTTTGATGAGGAACTTTATCAAAAGCTTTCTGGAAGTCAAGGTAAATAATATCTATTGGATCCCCCTTGTCCACATGTTTGTTCACCCCCTCAAAGAACACTAACAGGTTAGTGAGACAAGATCTTCCCTTACAGAAACCGTGCTGAGTCTGCCTCAATAGGTTTTGTTCATCTATGTGCCTACTAATTCTTTCCTTAATAATGGTTTCCACCAATTTACCCGGTATCGACGTCAGACTGACTGGCCTGTAATTTCCCGGATCTCCTCTGGAACCCTTTTTAAAGATGGGAGTGACATTAGCTACCTTCCAATCCTCAGGAATGGAGGCAGATTTTAAGGAAAGATTACATATCTTTGTCAGGAGATCTACAAGTTCACATTTGAGTTCTTTCAGAACTCTCGGATGTATGCCATCTGGGCCTGGTGATTTTTCAGTTTTTAAGTTGTCTATCAGTTTTAGGACCTCCTCTCTCGTCACCTCAATCTGACTCAGGTCTTTCAACACCCCTCCTGAAATCAGTGGTTCTGGAGTGGGCAAGCACTTCTCATCTTCCACAGTGAAGACGGAGGCAAAAAATGCATTTAGCTTCTCAGCCATTTCCCTATCATCCTTCAATACTCCTTTTACCCCTTGGTCGTCCAAGGGCCCCACTGCCTCCCTGGCTGGTTTCCTGTTTCTAATGTATTTGAAGAAAGTTTTATTGTTGGTTTTTACGTTTTTTGCTATATGCTCCTCATATTCCCTTTTTGCCTGCCTGACCTCAGACTTGCATTTTATTTGCCATAGCCTGTGTTCCGTTTTATCAGCCTCACTGTGACTAGCTTTCCACTGCTTAAAGGAATTCTTTTTACTTTTTACAGCCTCCATTACTCTGTTTGTTAACCATGCAGGCTTTTTCCTATACCTGTTTGTGCCTTTCCTAACCTGCGGAATATATATTTTTTGAGCTTCTAGGATCGTAGTTTTAAATAGATCCCAAGCTTCCCCAATTGTTTTGACCCTTTCTACTTTTCCTTTCAGTTTCCTCCCCACGTGTCCCCTCATATCAGAGAAATTACCCCTTTTAAAGTTAAAAATGGTTGTGTGAGTCTTTTTGGCCAATTCTCTATTTGTACAAATGATGAACTCAACAACATTATGATCACTGTTTCCAAGCGGTGCAATCACTTTTACATCTCTCACCAGGTCTTGAGTGTTACTTAGGACCAAATCAAGGATCGCCTCTCCCCTGGTAGGTTCCGTGACCATCTGCTCCATAGCACAGTCATTTAGAGTGTCTAGAAACTCAATCTCTTTTTCCCGGCTAGAACACATATTGACCCAATCAATGTGTGGGTAGTTAAAATCACCTATTATTACACAGTGTTTTTGTCTAGTTGCTATCTTTAAGGCATTCATCATTTTATAATCCTCCTCTATCTTTTGATCTGGTGGGCGATAACAAACTCCCAGTGTTAAGTTTCCTTTTGGCCCCCCTATTTCAACCCATAGAACTTCCAGAAGCGAATCCAATTCACTTAGCCTCTCAATCTTTCTAGACTTTATACCCTCTCTGACATACAGAGCTACCCCACCTCCAACCCTTCCCCCCCTATCCTTCCGATATAATATATAACCGGGAATCACTGTGTCCCACTGATTTTCCTCATCCCACCAAGTTTCAGAAATACCCACAATGTCTATTTTTCCCTCCCTCACCAAGCACTCCAACTCCCCGATTTTACCTCGGACACTTCTAGCATTTGTATAGAAACAGCTGTAATTTCCCTTACAAGTTAAGCCTGCATCCTTCCTCTTGCTATCTCGAGTCGTTGTCCGGCAGTCCATGTCACCAGCCATGGCCTCTGTGGACAATTTCAATCCACCTCCCTGTAGAAAAGCAACCGGTACCCCCTCACCTCTCTCAGATGAGCCAACCCGAACCAGAGACTTTTCATCTCCTGTCGGCTTTCCCCCAATATTCAGTTTAAAAGCTGCTCTGCCACCTTTTTGATTTTAAGTGCCAGCAGCCTGGTTCCTTCTCGGGACAAGTGGAGACCGTCTCGCCTGTACAGCTCCCTCTTGTTCCAAAATAGTTCCGCCCCTTCATCTGCATGCCTCCACCCTCAGTACTGTTTCTTGCTCATGCCAATGTGACAGTTTTTGGGGAACTGGTTTATATATGTACTCTACTGGTAGCAGGAGCTCCTTTGCATATTAGGCCACACACCCCTAGTGTAGCCAATCCTCCAAGAGCTTACAGTAGCCCCAGTAAGAAGAGCTCTGTAAGCTCTTGGAGGATTGGCTACACTAGGGGTGTGTCACCTAATATGCAAAGGAGCTCCTGCTACCAGTAGAGCCATCATCATCATCCCTGTCCATGGTGCTTCATAAAGCAGCATAGGCAGGAGACTGGGCCCTCCCCCAAGAAGTGTATTACCTAGATTTCAACAACAGGGAACACAAGGAAGGGGTGGGCAGAAGGGAGGAAAGAGGGAACAGTGAGCATGGCATTATTGTTATCAGTCATTTTGTTTATTTGAGTTAATAGTCCCCATCCTTTATGTTTCTGCCAGGGGCTGTAAACGAAATGCCCGTACCTGTTGTTGACATAATTCTGCATCCAAAATGAGTCCAATCATAATTACAAGATTCTTGAGAGACCAAACCTAAACAGGTCTACTCAGAATCCTACTTAGGCCTCCCAGGAAAATGTTCTTAGGATTGCACTGTTAGAATCCTTATAACATTCATCACCCTACAATCACTCTGTGGGGTAGGACACTGCCCTGGACCCATTGTACAGCTAGGGAACTGAGCTGAAGTGCTTATGACTTGTCCAAGGCCAAGTTGCAAGGTCATGGTTGAGTGGGTGCTTGAGTCCCAGTTCCAGAGGTGCAGCCCCGGTGCTTTTATCAATAGGTCCATCACTGAAGCGCAGACATGTCACGTCCATGGACTAACCACTGGCCTATTAATCTCATCCCAGTAAGCCTGGCTTGGGGTTCTGGGGCACGAAGCAAAAGCAGAATTTCCTCTTCAGAGATGAGTTCAGCTGGGATGAATGTCGCTTTCTGCATCATCCTAGTCTGAATCAGAAACACGGCTAGATGGTGGAACTTCCCAAGGTTGGCTTTCAAAGAGCGGTGATGCTGTAGTGGGCAGACAAACAGAACAATGAAGCATGAGAACGAAAGGGAAAGTAACCATTTCAGCCATAGAAGCTCGGTCATTCAATTCTCCCCACAGTCTCCCCCATGTATACATTGTGTTTGTCTTAAACCGTGTGGCCACCCCCAGGTAGAGCAGCTGGTGTCTTTTGTTCCCAAAACACTGTCAGGGCCTTTGCTTGTGTTTCTGCTTCTCCCTTGTGTACAGCTGCCCCTCTATACCCCAGCCTGGACATGTTTCTGTGTCAAGAAAAGAGCACACCCCCACTATCATGCACCTAATCGAGATCAGGGCCCTGTGAGACCTAGTACAGTTTTGCAGGGCCTGCAAAATGGAGCTGTTCTACCAGGCCTTTGGGTCAGGCGGTGAGTGACCATTAATTGGCCTCCCTGCCACAGTTGCTTCAGTTTCTGCTACTGATAAGATCTTTATAGCTCAGCCATGGCCCAATTGTTCACAATTTAGGATTGCTAAACATTTAATTGCTGCTATCCCCATCTCTGTTTCAACTGTTTTTATTGCTTAATATCTACTTTTAATCGCTTATTGATTATAATTTATTGTTGTAACCTGCCCTGAACCCGCTGACAGGAAGGGCAAGAAATAAATCTAGATGAATAAATAAATAAAATATCGCTCAACAGACTGTATTTAATTTGAAGTTGGGTCATATTTCAAACTAGGATAAAGGCCCATTGTGGGAAGAAATACAATGAGCTCCAGAAGAAGGCTCCAAGTGAGTGTCCCGGCTGTGGCTGGTGGGGTAGCAGAGGGAAGGGGAAAATGGAGGGAGGCAAGCCATGTTTATTTCCTTCTGCTTAGCTATAAGGCAGGGCTGTCTCAAGTCATTTTGCTGCCCCAAGTGGGTAGTATGGGAGGACAGCCTCATGGTAACAGGTATGGTTCCCTCCACCCCTATGTTGATTTGGGGTTATGCAGCTAAGGTAGAAAAGCACCTCCTCCTATGCCATGTCTTCTGGGTTCCAAGGGTCTGGAAAGCAGTTCCATAGCCAGTTACAGGGTTGCCAACTCTGGGCTGGGAAATACCTGTAGATTTGAGGGATACAGCCTGGGGAGGGCAGGGTTTGGGGTGCGGAGGGACCTCAGCAGGGTATAATTCCATGGAGTCCATTGCCTAAAGCAACCATTTTCTCCAGGAGAACTGATCTTGGAGATCTCCAGGTGCTGCCTGGAGGCTGGCAATACTAAGGGGAGGGCCAGACCTGCAGATTTGAGGGGTAGAGCCTGGGGAGGGCAGGGTTTGGGGTGCGGAGGGACCTCAGCAGGGTATAATTCCATAGAGTCCATTGCCCCAAGCAGCCATTGTAATAGCTGGGAAATTTTCTGTAGGGGAAATTATGTGCTGTGGCTGGGGAACGTAGTGATTTCTGGGAGATCTCCAGGCCCCATAGGGAGATTTGCAATTCCAGTGACTGTTTAAGGAAAGATTGGGATATGTATTTTGCCAACTCCAGTGACTGTTTAAGAGAAAATTGGGATATGTATTTTACCTCAGGACACATTCAATGACTCCCAACAGCAACAACAAACTGTTTAGAATGGTAGAGGCAAAGGCCAATCAGGCCAGATATGCAAATGACCTCTGTGTTCCGACTGGCTATTGGGAGGAGAGTAACAGCAAACTGTTTAGAATATTGGAGGCGAGACTCAGGCAATGCAGCCAGTGGATAGGGACAGCTTCTGAGTGAGAGATCAGGGAGCCAACTGATTTGGGAGTGTGTGGAATGTTCAGGAAAGTCCATGACCAAAACAGAATTATTATAGAGAGACATATTTGAAGAAGAGATTGGTCAGCCCTGCAAGCAAACTCATGGGATGCAATGCGTTGGAAGGAACATTACAGGGCGATCCTGTGCAGAGCTACCCCAGACTAACACCATGGAATGTTGGAGCAACTCTGCATAGGACTGCACTGGCAATCTGTTACAGAAGAAGAGGAAGAGATTGGATTTATACCCCGCCCTTCATTACCCAAAGGAGTCTCAGAGCGGCTTAAAATCCCTTTCCATTCCCCTCCCCACAACAGATACCCTGTGAGTTAGGTAAGGATGAGAGAGCTCTTCTGAGAACTGTTCCTGACAGAACAGCTCTGAAAGAACTTGTAATTGACCCAAGGTCACACCAGCAGCTGCATGTGGAGGAGTGGGGAATCAAACCCAGTTAGAATCATAGTATCATAGAGTTGGAAGGGGCCATACAGACCATCTAGTCCAACCCCCTGCCCAATGCAAGATCAGCCTAAAGCATCTCTGACAAATATTTGCCCAGCCTTCTTGAAAGCTGTCAATGAAGAGGAGCTAACCACCTCTCTAGGCAGCTGGTTCCACCTTTGAACCACTCTGACCGTGAAAAAGGTTTTCCTAATATCCAGCCGATATCTTTCTGCATGTAATTTAAAAACGCTGATTCGGGTCCTATCCTCTGCTGCCAACTGGAACAGCTCCTTGCCCTCCTACAAATGACAACTTTTCAAATATTTAAAGAGAGCGATTATGTCCCCCCTCAATCTCCTCTTCTCCAAACTAAATATTCCCAAGGCCCTTAGCCTTTCCTCACAGGGCTCAGTCTACAGGGCTCTCTTCTGCACCCTCTCGATTTTGTCCACATCCTTTTTGTAGTGAGGCCTCCAGAACTGCACACAGTACTCCAGGTGTGGCCTGACCAAGGCAGTATACAGAGGGGCTATGACCTCCTGCGATTTCGATGCTATGGCCCTTTTAATACAACCCAAGACTGAATTTGCCTTTTTTGCCACCACATCACACTGACTGCTCATATTTACTTTACAGTCCACCCTTACCCCAAGATCTCTTTCGCATATACTACTCCCCAGAAATGTATCCCCCATCCAGTATTTGTGCTTGACATTTTTGTGGGCCAGATGTAATACTGTGCATTTATCTTTGTTGAATTGCATCATGTTTGCAACTGTCCACTTCTCCAGAGTATTCAAGTCTTGTTGAATTTTAACTCTTCTCTTGGGTGTTTGCTACTCCTCCCAATTTGGTATCATCAGCAAATGGAATGAGTAGCCCTTCTACCCCTTTATCCAGATCATTGATAAAAATATTGAAAAGTACCGGGCCCAAAACTAAGCCCTGCAGCACCCCGCTGGACACCTCCCTCCAATCTGATGAAACACCATTGACCTCCACTCTTTGGGTGCAGTTTTCTAACCAGTCCCCTATCCACCGAACTGTCCTATATTTCAGCCACAGTCTTCCAGTTTGCCCATCAGAATGTCATGGGGAACCTTATCAAAAGCTTTACTGAAATCCAGGTAAATCACATCAACAGAGTTCCCATGATCCAGTAAGCTCGTCACATGATCAAAGAAGGAAACCAGGTTGGTCTGACCTGTTCTCACAGATTAGAGTCTGTGCTCCTAACCACTACAGCAAACTGGTGCCTTAATGATGAATGAGATTTTATTCCAGCATAAATGTTTGCATAATATAGCCAGGATAGTTTTGACAAAGTTCATGAAAGCTTATGCTAGAATAAAATCTCTTTAAGATGCCACCGGACTCCTGTCTTGTTCACCTGGCTTTCCTGAACTGACCCACCTCCCCTTTGATTTTTCTTTCTTTCATTGTGTATCTTGTTTTTTTATATAGTTAGACTGTAATCCTAAAGGCATGGCATACTTTTATTTTAATTTTTTTTTTAAATGCTGAACAATTTTAGGTACAAAATTAATATAGATCATGTAACAAATACATGCATCATATAGAGAGCACTTCTCTGCAGGCACTTGCCAGGGAGCCTTCGTCAGCTGCCCCATCTTGTTAAGTGTGCCTTCTTTGGCAAGTACAGAGTGATCCTGCTTAATGTGTGAAATAGACCTCGCCTGTGTTCCACCCAGATTTTTTGCCTGGGCTTCCTTACAGCACTGCTGCTCTGGGGAACATCTGCACGACATGATCCTCTTCTATTTGTCTTTCTTCTCTCCCACTTCCACCTCACCCTCTGCTTTGCTGTGATCTTTCCCAAACCGTTTGGTACATCTTTGAATACCGGGAAGGTGTGCATTTTTGCAGGTCCTACTCATGTTGGTACTATTTGCATAGCCTCAGCCCCTGCAGCCATCATTTTCTTTCTATACTCAAAGCCCGAAGGGCTTTCTCTGGACTGTTTTTAAAGCTCAGAAATGGCTAGATTGCTAAGTTGTAAGGGGAAACCAGGAATTCCTAGATCCCTGATTTCTTTTTTTTAAAGGCCTCTGGGTGGTAGGGAAGGAGAGGGAATCTGTGTGTGGTGAAAGCAGTTTTCATTTATAACCAGTAATGGACAGCTTACTGACTTGGTGAGCTTCTGGTTGTTCTTGCAAAAGCCTTCTTCCCCTTCTTGCTCAGCTTTGGGACTGGACCCCGAACAGGTGCTGGTCGTATCCCAGCATTCCACTGGGCACTTTGGGCAAGGAGCTTTGCCGTTGTTTTGGTAACAGGATAGCCAGTGGACTGCTGAGTAGCCCAGCTTGGGCGAACTGGAACTTTTGGGTATGAGTCAAGGTCTGCTGAGAGGGACATCTAGGAAATAAGGGAGATAAATGTGAATTCACAGTAAAACAAGAAAGATGATTTCTTCTGAAAGAACACAAATAGTTTTGTTCTGATATGCAGGTTACTTATTATCACAAATCAGGAACAGCAATCTTCTCCTGTTATTCTAGTTTCTCAGCCAAACCAAACACACCACTTCAGCATCAAAATTCCAAGTGAAAACATGCAAGAAGGCTAAGGCTGTAATCCCACTTACTTGGGAGTAAGTCTACTGATCTCCATAGGACTTCCAAATAATCATGCATTAGATTCTGTCATCAAGTACACATTTTTTTAAAAATAAATCCTTGTGGAATCCCTGTTAGGAAAAGGAAAGCATGGAAATGGTCCAGCATGCAAGTTGGAAACAATTTGAACAACCTATACCGTTGCAGAATCTGAATTACAACAGTCACACTGAATATTGTTATGAACTTTCAAATAAATATTCCTGGGTTCTGGGGGAGGAAGAAACTTTGGTTTGGAGAAGAAAATCTCCACGAAAGCAATTGATAATAAGCATAGATTTAGGATTACCATTTTGTTCACTGTAAGCTTTAGATGAATAACTGATTTACATTGGCTTCATTGCACAGCTGATCAAAACTGCTTGGCTCCACCCCCTCATTCTGCCCCATAATCCAGATGGCTCAGCTTCCAGGTTCCTATCAAGTACCAGGGATTTTTATTTTTATTATTATTATTATTATTATTATTATCACAATCATATATTTGGTAGATGGTGTTCTACAATTCAAGATCTAGTCAAGTTCTTGGGAATTTCAGAGGCATCTTTGCAGGATTCTTCCTCTTCCAAGCAACACTGTCTTCTGGAGCTGTGTTCAATGACCAGAATTTCCAGGTGTTTCTATAGACTTCTAGGTCTATAGACCAAGGCTCCAATCACAGTACAATGGTAACTTCATTCTCCTAGAGGTATTCTAACTCTATTCATAGGTCTTGGGATTTCGTTATCTTCTCCTGCTCTTTCTTTTCTATTCTGCTTTCTACTGGGATTGCAATGTCAATGATCCGAACCCTATTTCTCATTTTTTTTGTAAAATTGTGATATCAGGGGCGTTATGCTCCAGGTGTTTATTTGTTTGCAATCGGAAGTTCCAAATAATCTTTGTTTCATCATTCTCCATGATCTTGTCCGGTTTGTACTCCCATGAATTTTTGGCTGATGGTAAGCTATACTTCTTGCAAAGATTCCAGTACAACATAGCTGCAACTCTATCATGATGTTCTTTATAGTCAGTCTGAACAATTTTACTGCAGGCACTGACCATGTGGTCAACTGTTTCATCCTTTGTCTTGCAAAGTTGACATTTGCTTGCATCACTGGTCTTCTGAACCTTGGATTTCATACTTCTAATGTCCTGGCCCCACTGGTGGACCTCCTGATGGCACCTGGTATTTTTGGCCACTGTGTGACAGAGTGTTGGACTGGATGGGCCTTTGGCCTGATCCGACATTGGCGTCTCTTATGTTCTTATAATTTCCATTTCAGGTGCCTGCTCTTGAGCAGCTGGAATGAGTCCTTTCATTTCTTTCTTCAAGTGTCCATTTTGGAGCCACTTCCAGGTGTTTTATCAACTTTATTCTTTATGTCTTTCAAATATTGCTCATACAAGTGCTTTTCCTTCAAGTTGTCAAAGTGAATTTTGATCGCAATCTATTTGTAATCTTCTTTGGTTTCTACAACCTTAAATAAGTCCGCCTTGTGTACTTCAACTAGACTTTGCTTTACTTGCTGTAGACATTCAGTGCTCATTTTTCTTCTTCAAGTGCTTGCTTAACTTTCAGGAGACCTCTTGGTAAGTAAAGATGATCAACATCACCTCTAGCATGTAGTGAGTGATGCATTGGCACTATCTTGCGAGTTTTGTGATCTATTGCTTCTAATTCTTCTTGTTTCCAATCGATAATGCAAGTTGTGTATCTTAGAACTGGGACTGCCCACATGTTAATTTACCATGTTGCCTCCATTTAATTTTGTTTGCAATATCTTTTTAATTTTTTGGTAGTACTCCTTGGTTGTATTTTTCTTAACAATGGTGTGTTTGATTTTGTCAGCTTCCAAAATGCTAAGATATTTGTAGTTTTCTTCAAAGCCCAGTGTTTTGATGGTGTTGTTGTTTAGCATCTACCTTGATTTCTTCTTGTTCAACAATATTTCCTCTATTCAGTGCTAATGCTGCACATTTGTCATGGCCAAATTCCACTGCTATATCTTTGCTGAATATTCGAATTGTATTTAGTAAAGAATCAATCTCTGATTATGACTTCCCATACATTTTCAAGTAATCTATATACAATAAGTGTGAAATATTGGGCCTGTCTTTGAAAGCTAGTATGCTGGGCCTGTGCTGTTGAGACTGATTGCGAGTGGTATTAGGGCGGCAGAGAACAACGGTGATAGTGAGTCCCTTTGGAAAATTCCTCGTTTGATATGAACTGTTCCAATGTCTTCTCCATTCACTATCAACCTGGTGTTCCATTTATTACCTGAACGTTCCATTGCAGATGCTGGGGACTGAACTGATGAACTCCTGCATGTGAAGCAGATACAATACCACCAAGCCGTGGCCCCTCCTGCTTCTGCCCTTTCCATCTTGCTGCCCTTAAGCCTGAAACTGGCACCCACAACACCCCTGTGATGCCACTGCCTTCACTTCCCTCCTTATAACCCATTTTTTCCTGTAAAGCCTTTGGCCAAACCCCTTAAGTTTTCCTCACCAGGGGCTGAAGCAGTGGAGAAGAAAACAGCAACACTCATTGTGCCATCTTTACACAGACGGGTGGATAACACAATAGTCACTGTCTCAAATTTTAGATTGTAAATTCCTCAGGGCAGGGAAACTGGATTTTGTAAAGGGTCACATACATTTATGATGCTATATAAACAAACAAAGAGCACTAGCATGAATGAGGATGAAAAATTAACCTCTAGGCTGCTTCTGGGCAGCAGTTTCCCAGTCTCCAGGTCACACTAGTTGGGAGCAGAACATGTCAGAGTGAACCAGCTGGGTCTGCTGGCAATAGATGTGATAAACCACACACTTGCCCCACTCACATCTTTCTCCCTGAAATGCTGAATTTCTATGGGGGGGCAGTATTTGGGGTTTATACGGGAAGCTTTCAGTCCCCACCTGCAGCCGAGACACAGGCTGACCACCTCAGTGAGAACTAGGCCCTGGGCCTTTAAATCTGTTTGCTTAATCTCTAGGAAAAGCTAGAGGTAGTAAAACACTTTCTCGGAAATCCATTCAGAAGCAATAAAGGCAGATAACAGCACAACTGTCAACAGTCAAATGTCAGCCTGAAAAGGCTAGAACCACTTTCCGTTTTCCTAACAGGCGGCTGGCGGTGGCTGGGAGACACAGACAATAAGGCAAAGGCAGGGCTTAATCCTTACATTTAGAAAGAAGCCGTGTAATGACTGGCAGGGATCAACCTAAAGAGACGTAGGTGGGCATGCAAGAGCTTAAAATGTCAGGAAGGGGTGCTGATGGTGCGGAACATACACACGCATGGCAGGATGTGGCAGGCACGGTATGGGTCCCCACCCCACCCTCCAGGAATGAGACTAGAATGCAAAGGACTGTAGGCAGCAAATGTTTCTCATATACCTGATTTCCACCCTCCTGCATTCTTGGCAACTCAACACTAGGCTGCTGGAGGACAAGGAAGCAAAACAGGTTAAACCACAAGACCGAGATCCTTCCTACAGTGACAGAAGTATGTTGCTGGAAGCACTCATGTCTGTAGCCAGATGTGCCTGGCTTAATGATCCTATAGTGTTCAAACCCAGCTACCTACACAAGGAACTTCTACTCCAGTGATCCTCAGAGTGATGCACATGATGCCATGGCACCTGCCCATATGTTTCCTACTTCCCCAAAGCAAAGAGTGAACCCTTGCGGTCCTTATCGGAGCAGGAGGTGCTTCAAAAGATCCAAGACCGCAGCATCCTGGTGCCTGAAAGGAGCACCCATTCAGAAACAGCAGCCCCATCATGGGATGACGTTTGGCTTGGAACCTCCCAATATTTTATGAGTGGACCTAATCCTCAAGGCAGCCCATTTGTGGCTGACGGCACCCCCCCTCCATGGCAGCCATTTTGCAATGGCACTCACTCTCCACTTTCTCAGGATTCCAAAAGCGCCCACATACTCAACATGGCTGGGGACCCTATTCTACCCTGTATGAGGGGCTGCATAATGAAACTGTAGTGCAGTGCCAAATGTGTTACACATCAGCATCAGAGACCCTGGAAGCAGCACATTGGCCTTGGACCTTGGCCATAATCCCAGGTCAGCCCATGGTTCCCAGCTGTGCACAGAGGCACTGTGCATGTCTTTGCCAACATTGCAACAGGTCTTGTGGTCACCTCTCACTTTCTGCTTGCTGTTTTATGGTGCCTCTAAAAATGTTACTCTCCTGATTGTAAAAGTGGCTGAGATAGGAAGACAGGTCCTTGATACCAAAAGGAGGCACCAAAAACTAGTTTAGATAGTCATTGTGCAGGAAACGTAACATCTGGCTTAGAAATATCAATTCTGGGAGATCAGGAAAGAGGAAACTCTGTTAACCACCTTCTTGATTCTGCTGTACCCCATCTCTGATACTCAAATGTCAAGTCTTTTTCCCCCCCACCCATATGTGCATGTGAGTGTGTGCTTGTGTGTGAGTGTGTGTGCATCTGGAAGTCATGGTGACCTCTGGTGACTGACCTCTACTGGGTGCCTGGAGGATATTCAGAGAGGTGGCTGAATAAAGCCTGCCCCTGCCTCCCAACTGCTGGTATTCCAAGGAGGTCTCCCATCCAAGTACCTGCTAGAGTTGACCTTACTTAGCTTCTGAGATCTGACAAGATCAGGCTTGCCTGGGCTATCCAGGTCAGGGCTCATATGTCAAGTCTTGATGGTCTCCTCCACCCTAATCTCCTTTGTCTGGCCAATATATCTCGTAAGTCCTCTGGGCAGGGACACTGTTGGTATGTTTTTGGTATGTTAAGCAAGAGGAGACTGAACACTGATGGTATGTTTTTGGTATGTTAAGCAAGAGGAGACTGAACACTGACAACCAAAGTTCAAGGAATCCAAGCATCACAGGTGGCTAGCCTAGATTAATACTTCCCCATCTCTGTGAGAATCAGTCATCTAGCCTGTCCCACGAATCAGTCATCTAGCCTGTCCCATGCCTACAACAGCTGATTGCTGGAATACCTTTCTGAGTCTTAGTCACTTTCATCCAAATGTTGCACCTTGCAAAGATGCTCCCTTCTTTGCCAATCTTTGCAGTGCCCGAGGGCTGCACACCCCACTGAGGCTACTGATAAGCTAAACAGGTCAACCAGCAGCAATACTTGCCAATGACTTTGCTTTCCGGAGTTTGTATGTTCCGTTGCTTGGTTTCCTTTTTTTCTGAAAAGCTTGCTGGCTGATGTCTGGGGTTAGCCCTCCTCCTTTTATTCTGCTGCAAGAGTGTGAAAATGTGTAACACTGTGAAGCATGTCCAGCATCTGGCCCTCTACCGTGGCTTCCCAGGCCTCAGAATGGGTGCCAGAGACCAAACTGCTTCTTTCCCCTGGCTGCAGCCCCCCCCCCCACAAACAAACCGAGCAGCCCACTTCCTCCTTGGCCTTTCAGCGGTGTCCATCTTTTACGGGGTGGTTACCGCATCTTCCTCGCCCACTTGCCCAACCGGACATCCTCTGCTGCACCCCCCGTGCTCCCCAGCCCTGCCTGACTTGGCGCTGCTCCTGCCCATCCACCCCTGTCTCCACCTGCCCCGTGCTTGCCCCAATGGGCTCTTGCCTGCTGAGAGGCCGACCTACACAGCCACACTCCTGTCTTCTCAGCCTTCCGACTTGTTGTTCTGCATCACCCTGCCTTCCTCGGAGCCACTGCCCACCCCTGGAGTGGCAGTCCCTCTTCCAGGTTCTCACTGTACGGGAACCTCTTTCCTGGCCTGCTTCTCCACCATGCTGTTGGCGCCAGCACTGGGGCTTGAGCTGGGTTTGCTGGCATTCTCCTGCACTTTGGGGGGGGGGTGCCCCTTCACCAACTTGCCCTGGCATGTTCATCAGGGAACAGTTTGCCTGAGGTTGCCAGGTAAAGCAGAAAGTCCGGGATGCCACACACTCCCCCGACGCACACTTAAGACAGATGTACACAGCTTGAGTGGTGATCCTGTAGATCTACACTCACTACACACTTTAAAAAACTGCACTGAGCCCAGCAGCAATGGTTCCATCCCATTCCAAAAGGAACCTGGCTGTGCAGAGTGCTGATCGGCTGGCCCTTTTGTCCGTCACTTCCCTTCTGTTTTCCCACTGGGTTGGGATGTGCACCGTGCTGAACGTCACAAAAGCCAGCCAATCACAAAAACTACTCATGTTTTAAAACTACTTTTAAAAAGCACTAAACAATTTAAATGGATCAATATACCAGCCGTGTTTTTTAAAAATGATTTTAAAAGCCAAATGCCTACCCATAGCATGAGGGTGGGGAGAAACTGATTCCACGCTGGAGTCAGAACCAGGCTCAGATCTTCGCTGTGCCATGAAGCTTGCTGGGTGATCTTGGGCCAGTCCCTCTTTCTTGGCTTAATGTAACTGACAGATTTATTATGAGGATTAAATGGAAGAGGGAAGAACCATAGCAAATAGAGGAGGGGATTCTGCAAACATAATCCTAACCTTGGTCCTATCACTAACTATGAGGGCAGGGACTGGCATGGGTTACTGTCTTCCCCATTCTGCAAATATGGGACCAGCTATGAACCATAACAGACTACCACACCACTGCTGTCTCTGGGATGAATGAGACACTGTTGTCACTTGCCCCATTCTGCTAACACTTTAGTTTGACAAAAAGAAGTAGGATGTCACAGTATGTCTTACGCTTGTCTCGCGTGCTCAATAGGATCATAGTTGTCCAAGTAATTGAATCTGATGATGTCCATCGGATGCTTATCTGAAGAACGCCACGGGGGGAGCCCTCTCTTCTCCTTGTCCATCTTCTTTCCTAATTGAAGGATTGAGGACAAGGACAGTTTCGCCTCAGGGGTCTCTTTAGCTACTGGCTGAACATCAAATACCACAAAGTCGTGTTTCGGGATGGTCTAAAGGAGAAAAGACAGGTAGGAATAGTAAAGCTGGAGCTGCTGTAGAACCTCCCTAGTCCCTCAGCGGCAACAAATCTTTTCTCTGCTGGCCACCACAGTGAGTCCACTCATGGTCCGAAAATCACAGGGCAATAAAGCAACCCTCCAAAAGGTAACAAAGTTAATTGCTCTTTGTTGCTGTTTTAGACAACCTACAGGGCACACCACAAAACCCAAGGAAGACTAGCTACTTGGCACCATGAGTTTAAGAGATTAAAGTTTGCCACATCCACTAGATAACCCTTAAAAATGTGAGCTCTCCTGGATAAGACCAAAGGTCCATTTAGTCCAGCATCCTGTTACCAACATTGGCCAAAGAGATGCCTCTGGGAAGTCCATAAGTAGGGTAGCCAGACTCCTCCGGTGAAGGCGGGGGTCCCCTGCTGCCAGGCCACACCTCCCTGCTGCTGATCAGCTGGCCGATGGGGGGGGGAACTTATCCCCAAAAACAGGGAGATCCATCCAACATGCAGTGACATGTCTCTGTCACTGTCCATGTGACCCGGAAGTGCTGTCCTCACATCTGGGACATTGAGGCGATGCTCTGGTATTTGGGCAAAAACTTGATGGTGGAAGCCAAATTTACCATAGAGTTTTTGCCCAAATACCAGAGTGTCATCCCAACACCCCAGACATGACGATGTCACTTCTGGGTCACATGAGCAGTGATGTGGACACGTCGCTGTATGGTGGATGGGCCTCCCTGCTTCTCCCAGTAAGTCTGCCCCATCCCCCGCCATTTGCCAGGAGGGACACAGCAACCCTATCCATAAGTGGGGTATGAAGGCAACAGCTTTCCAGCATGGCCTGTACTTCAGATTTAGATTATCTCTGAACAAAGAGTTCCATTTAGCCATCATGGCCAACAGCAATCAATACAGCTGTCATCCACAATGTTGTCTAAACTCCTTTCAAATATCTTTAAGCTAGTGGCCACTGCCACATCTCGTTGCAGTGAGTTCCACTTACCAATACTTTGCAGTGAAATTAACTGCATTGGGTAACTTCAGGTTCTAACGCTATAAGAAATTTCTTTTTGTCATGCCATGCGTAACTTTATAATGTTCTATCATATCCCTCCATAGTTGTCTTTATCCATACTAAAAAGACTCAAACACTTTAGCAGTATTTCTTGGAAACTGCTCCAATGCTTGCATGTCAGAACCCACAGTGAACACAACGTAGCACACTCTTAAACAAGAAGGTTTTGCTTTATTGCATAGCTATAGGCATGTTAACAGGAACACTGTTGAGAATGGTCAAGCAAGCAAGCGCATAACTAATTATAGGGCGTTTGTATGCACCCCCTCCCCATTCCTCCAATAAGCCTTATTCGCGCACGTGTGAATGTAATGGGAAAGCTAACAGCTAGCAGGTAGAAAACGGCCTCCTTCCCAGGCCTCGTAGACACGACAACTCCTCCAGTACAATCATGAAAGATAAGCGTTCTGCTGGGAAGTAAATGAGCGCATAGAAAGGAATGCAAGGCAATTACAGAAATGAAAAACAGGTGCCCAAGAAAGAAGCCTCCCCTCTTTCTTCCCAATGGCAGTATACCTGACATTGCATCATTTTTGTCTGCTCTTTTCTGCACCGTTTTGGGATGGAGCAACCAAAAGTCTAGAAAGGATTACTAATGTTGCAGCATTGTGATGGAATGTAATATTCATCAAATATGCAGTGCAGTTCATATAGGGGATTTATAGAAATGTTTGACATGCAAGGCTTGACCGCATCTTGCTTACAGAAGTTACTCTTCCTTTCTCCTTGAAGGAACAGGCCACCCACAATGAAAAGACATATTGTTTATTGTTAGAATTAGTTATGAAAGGTTGATATTTCGCCAGACTAGCTCTCATCACAAAGAGTAATGCCACAGAGTTGACTGAATGCCCAGGGGGAAAAAATCTCATTGTGAAGACAGCATCTATTAGACCATGCTCAGAACGGCATCATATCACCACCTTAAAAGAGCACAAATCAGAAGATCCAGTAAAGTCATGTGTTGGCCTCTATAATGGCTCCTATATAACCTGGTCACACCCTATAACTCCTGAATCCCTCAGATTTGGAATTCAATGCAACCTGCTTTCCCCCCTTTTTGGCAAAGCTCTGGGTTAGAAGCTTTGCAACCTAACTCAACTGTTCATTGGCTTGGGAAATACAAGGTTTCACTTTGAACCTGGAACAAACAAATACAGAAACCTTAATATCTCCCTTAGGGATTGAGAACTGTGCCCGGAAAGACTGAATGTTTTAAGAGAGCATTCAGTTATCAATCAGCGCTTTAATGTAGTGGCTTATGTTTTGCTTCAGTTCAGTCAAATAGGTTTTAATTTCCATGTGACTGTTTAAGGTAATGCCCCCTCACAGCTGGTTCCAAGTGACCACCACACCACCATAAAGATATTACAATATGGCACTGCAGAGTGAACTCACAGGTCTTGCCTCTCCTTTCTTGATTCACATTTTGAAGGGACAGTTCAGTGTTATGTCTGCATGGAACTTTTAGCTGGGTACCTTGAGAGCAAATGGAAACACATACAACTGCCCTATACTCTATCAGGTTATTGCTTATTAAGGTCATTATTGTCTAGTCTGACTGGCAGCAGCTCTCAAGTCTCAGGCTGGGGACTTTCACATCACCTCCTACCTGGCCCTTTTAATTGGAGATCCTGGGGATTGAACCTGGGACCTTATGCACGTCAAGCAGCTGCGCTACCCGAAACCACAGCCCCAACCTAAAACTTGTAGGGAAAGCATATGTTACAGCTTCCTAAGACTAGACCACTTCAGAATGTTGGGGGTGGGGATATGCAAGTTTGAATGATCTCCATGTCAGAAACACCCTGCATATGGAAAGTTATAAAGCTAGGCCAGAAGCCTTTGGCTTATCTCCCACAATTATCTTTCAAAGATTACAGGGGTACCGTAGGCCTGGTAACGAGGAACTCTTTCACCATTTCAATGTAATGTCTCTTCCAGATTCCCTGCTCAAATGGGGTTGGAGAGAAGTTGATGTACCACCCAAAACGCAGACATTTCTGCATCCAAAGCTGATCCAACTCTGTCAAGTATTTCCAGTGCCAGCTCACCTGTGAATACCAAATGAACCATAATTATTCAAGGACGCTATCGAGCACATCATCTAAATGGAAAATCTGCCTCAAGGCCCTCAGACAACAATACAATTAATGTTGCTAGCAACTGCAGTTAATTTGGAGGCAATGCTTACATGGCTGACTGTATCTTCTTCCTTCTAGCCAAAATCACAGGTTGAGTCAAACATACGCCAGTGGAGCAAAATGCATAAATGCAAGTCCTTGGGCTCATGCTTGCCTACAATTCATATGGCTAAAATAATATCTAAAATGGAAACCCTCACATATTTTGTCATAAACAATTACTGTGATTCCTGTGCTTATGGCAAACCCAAAAAGGGATTCTGTGCTTGCAGTAAGGGCAACTGTATGTCAACTGTACATCACTGGGCACATGTATGCTTCTGGTTCACCCACTATGCAAACAAAAATTTTGAGGGTGTGTGTATGACAGAAATACAGCAATGCCATCACATGTGTGAATTGGCCTTCTGCATAGGTTGGTGTTGTAGACAGCCTCTCCCTGCCCCACACTACATCCATTGATGTAGCACTCTGTAACTCAGCCTTTTCCAACAGAAATTTGTCCAATGGAAGAAATTCCCAACTGGAAGAGCAATTCCCCAGTTGAGGGTCTAGGGAATTTCATTCATTGGACAAGTTCCTATTAGGAAAGCCTGTGCTGATCCAACTGAAGCCATTGCTTTTTGCCTCAATGGATAAATCCTATCCTGCCTCAACTCCCTTATCAGAAGACATCATATCCCACTTAAACTCCTTTTCCCTAGGCTAAACATACCCAGTTGATTTGTCTCTCTGCGCTGACTCCTTCCACACGTCAGCTTCGTGCCTGCTGAGTTTTACCTGGGCGCATCGACAGAGGCTCCGAGGGTCCAGGAAAGAAAAGATGTACAGGGACAACGGCCTGGGGAGCTTTGCAGTGAAATCCAGAGCTTCAACTGGCACACGATCATGCAGCTGCTTGACACAGAACTTCAACTGTGACAGAGAACAGCACTCTAACAGATCCATCAGGACTCTTCGCCTCTGAATGTCTGTCCATTTATCAAACTGGGGGAGTAGGAAAGAGGGGGAAAGGTGAGCTGCATGTTTTGTAGCAGGACAGCCTCAAGCAAATGACTTTTCCCAGTATAAAATTTTTTGCAAACATTGAACCATAGAATCAACAGGATACTCTAAATGTTTGGTTCCCTGGTTACTAATAAAACATGAGTGGGCAAATCAAATCATGGGTCCGTCTAGTCCATCATTCTATCTCCAACACAAGTCATCTAGAAACCCCTGAGAAGCTCACAGGCAAGGCATGGAGGTGATGGCCCTCCCCCTAATAATCTCCATCATCTAGTATTCAGCATGCCTCTGGTCATGGAGTTTCCATCATGGTTAATGCCTTTTGTAGGCGTAAGAGCTGCCTTGCTGGAACAAAGGTCCATCTAGTCCAGATTCTCTCTCCAAAAGTGACCAGCCAGACCTCTTGAGAAGCTACAGCTGGGGAATGAAGTAACAGTGACTATGCACCTACTCAAAGTAACCAACCCATGATCTTTGAACCTCGGAACACACACCCATCATATAGCAGATTTCTCAATGCAGTCCGCTCATCTATCAAGTAAGTATGGAAACCCACAGAGATCCGGGGCTCAATTAAGAGAGAAAAAAATTACCCATTTCCCCAGCAGGGTTCTTCTTTCTTCAAATACCTGTAATGAACACACACAAGGAGGAAGAAAAACAGGACATTAAGAAATGAGACTGGAGCAGCAATTCCTATGTAGACAATTACCTGCCTTCGGAATGTCTAAGTCTTCAACATAAGGCCCTAATTCGTCAGTCTTAGGACCCATTCATACAACCGTTTTGGTGTGTATGGAGGGCCCACAGCAAGGTGACTTTACTCCTCAGTATTCATCAGCTTGCAAAAGGATCCCAAATGATCAAAAGTACAAGAGCTCTGCATCATTACACCAAGAATTCATCCTGTCCAGCATCTGATTGTCAGATGCTTCCCGGAAGCTCTGAAGCAGGCAACAACCCATCCTTGTCTATTTGCTCCCAGCATCTGGTACCCTACCTTTGAATCTGGAGCCTTCATTTAGTTATGATGGTTAATGGAGGTTGACAGACCTCTAGTGCATGATTTTGTCAACTACTCCATTTAAAGACATTGAAGGCAGCAACCATCATCACATCATCACATCACAGCAGCAAATTCCATATATTTGTTATGCGTTGTGATCGCCTCCTGTTGTCTTTCCTGAATTATCTTCTCTGGGTGGGTTTGAGTCCCAGTGTTACAAGAGACAGAAAAATTCTTCTCTATCCACAAAATCACAACAGTGGGGCATTATGTTTGGTGAAGGAGCAGAACATTACAACTGATGTAATTTTAGATTACATCATTTTCTTTCACTTTGTTGTTCCTAACAGATCCAAGTAGAACAATTTCTTCTTTTTCCTTTTTCCAGAAGACTGCTGCCAGCCACAGCTGACTCAACACAGGCTATCCTTATGCCTTTGCCTTTGTGTGGAGAAATGAAAAACTAAATCTAAATGCTTTAATGGGCTTCCCTCCTCTGTGTATCCTCAAGCCACTTGCCTGAATGAGCCATCACCCATGCCAGCCTGCAGCCTCTGTTGTGGTGGCGTTTCACAATCTTTTTTTGTTACAAGGAAAGATAAATGGCCCAAGGATCACGTTTTGGTTCAGGTATTTTAAGAGGGAAAGCGAGGGAGTTGTTTGCATTGCTCAAAGCCAGGCTCAGGGGCTTTGATCACAGAAATATACAATGTTTGCTTTCCAAGCTCTTATGAATCCACCTGGAGCCCCTCTTGTCATGGCATTCTTCATTAGGAAACAAAGCCCATGTAAGTTAATCCCTTATGAAACAATCAGATGCCAGTATAGCCACTCCAAGGTTTCTTTTTAGCACAACAGGTTCAAACTTTTATGCCTTTGGGTGAAACTGGGTTCAAGGTTTACCAAAGGTTATTCAGAACAGTGGTCTTCAACCTGTGGGATGGGACCCTCAGGTGGGTCAGAGAGCTCAACCCACTGGCTTTGAGCTCCCATATAAATGGCATATAATTTCTTGCTGATTTTTGGAGGGACCTGTTGCTAGTGCACACTGTCAAAAGACCAAGGGCACCACATCACCTTCTCCCCACCAAGCAGCAGGAGAGCAACCTGAGTTTGCTCAGCCACTGCAATTGTATAGGCTCTGCTAGTGAGAGAAGGCTCATTTCAAAATTTTCTATGAACATTCAAAGTCATTCACAGCATGGTCAAAGATCATGAGCCGGTGGTAGAAAACAATGTTCACAGATTTAAAGTTAGAAATCATTCACAGATTTAGAAATCTTTTTTTAAGATTTCTAATTTGGGGTTATTCTGAAATATTCTCTCCTGAATACTTGCAAAAGGAAAGAATCTCATTGGATTCAAAATAGATATGAAAGATATTTTGCTATTTCTATCCACCCTATTTTTTAAAAATTTCCTGATGGTATCAGACACTGGGGTGAGTCCTACCCCTACTCGACCACTCCACTGAACAAAGTTTATTCATTTGTCTATCAGAATATTTATACCCTGTCTTTCCTTTTGGGTCAGGTTTGAAATCTTCCTCCAGCCTAAGGTGGCTTCCTCCATCTTAAGCAGCTCTTTAGTTGGAGGAAGAGCCACTTAAGTTGGAGAAAGGCTACTTAGAGCTTGGTTGGATCTGCCCCACTGTCACTGACAGAGCTGTGCCCAGACTATTCATATTTTGTCACTCTTTGTGAAAATTTTTACATTCATTCATTTACATTGCTCTCACATTCGAACATCCTCACTATAATTCAATGATATCACCTTGGAAGGGTGTAACGGTCTAGGATGGCACTGAAAATTTATTCCAGTGTAAGCTTTTGTGAGTCAGAGTTCACTTCATCAGATGTACTGGAGAGTATAACCATCAGTTTGATGCTTTCCTACTCACCTTTATGTCAGAACTGTGCCAAAAATACTCCGAACAGGTAGCTGCTTGATATCATCTATGAATACTCCTTCAAAGGGATAATTTCCACAGTGTATTATATTAAACCAGGAAGCCTTAAGAACATAAGAATATAAGAAGAGTCCTGCTGGATCAGACCAATGGTCTATCTAGTCCAGCATCCTGTCTAACACAGTGGCCAGAGGAACTGGTTGGCTAACAACAGGGCACAGAGGCCAAGACCTTCCCCTGATGTTGCCTCCTGGTTTAGTGCCTTTGAATTACGAGGTTCCCCTTAGTTGCCATGGCTAGTAGCCGTGTCTAGGAAGCAAAGCCTTGATTGGGGCAGACTTATGGGAATTGTCCTTCTCTTTGCAGAACAGGTCCATGATTGGATGATCATGACCAACGCTGAGTACACTCCAGGACAGAACTCTAAGTGGAATTAAGAACATAAGAAAATAACTGTCATGATCTGGGCTGTGCTACCAGAGGCCTACTAGGCTCAGGGAGCCTGGCTAGCAGTAGGGGAGGCTGGGCCTACAAATCCCAGAAGGCCTTGGGAAGTTTTGGCACCGATTTTGACCAATAGGGAAGAAGAGGGCTGGGGAAAAACAGGTTGCTTACCTGTAACTGATGATCTTCGAGTGGTCATCTGTGTATTTACACCCATGGGATACAGTGCGCACGCGCTGGATCGATCGGCATTGTAGCAAGTTCTTTAACGGATTTTCGTGCCTAGACCTCGGGCATGTGCAGGAACCCCACCACGCATGCCCAGAGGGGTAGGCGTGGACATCCCGCCAGTTCCTTCGAACAGCCGCGAATCAACCCCTATGGAAAATGTAGAAGCTGACAGCAGCGGGGAAGGAGGGCAGGTGGTATGAATGCACAGATGACCACTCGAAGATCATCAGTTACAGGTAAGCAAACTGTTTATCTTCGACGAGCAGTGGCCTACCTGGAGAAAGGTGCTGGTAGTTCCTTACTGCGAAGCCGAGGATGTGACGTACCATGTTGGTACGAGAGTTCTTATGGACGTCTAGGCTAGACTACTGTAACGCTCTCTACATGGGGCTGCCTCTGTCGTAAATTCAGAAGCTGCAACTAGTGCAGAATGCTGCAGCCAGGCTGTTGATGGGTCTCCCTAGACGGGATCACATCCGGCCTGTCCTGAAAGCGCTGCACTGGTTGCCAATGGCGTACCGGACTCGCTTCAAAGTGCTGGTTCTTACCTTTAAAGTCCTATATGGCCAGGGTCCGGCCTACCTAAGGGACCGCCTTTCCCTGCATGTTCCCCCAAGGGCACTACGGTCGAGGAGCCAAAACCTCCTGGATATCCCAGGCCCCAGAAACATCAAATCTGCTGTCACCAGGGTGTTCTCGGTGACATCTCCTACCTGGTGGAATGAGCTCCCAGAAGAGATCCGGGCCCTGCGGGACATTCTGCAGTTCCGCAGGGCCTGCAAAACGGAGCTCTTCCGCCAGGCTTTCGAGTAGGAGCCGCCACCACCATTATTCCACCAACGCTTATTCCATCACCGCACTCTACCAACGCTAGTGCGGGTATCATCGGGGGTGCAAGACTTCCCTGGCGGATGACAGGGTTGTGGGGACATATACTGTTGTTGTTCTGTTCTAACATCTTCAGAACACCATCTTGGTTTTATGGTTCGGAGTGAGTATTGGAGCACCGATATTTTTATTTTTACTAATTTTAATAACTGTATTATGCTGTATCATTGTATTTTTATACTGTTTTTATTGTTTGAATTTGGCATTTATGCCCTTGTTAACTGCCCTGAGCCTTCGGGGAGGGCAGGATACAAATCTAGGGAATAAATAAATAAATAAATAGGGCGTAGTGCCTTATGAAGGTGTTAGGCGTAGCCCACGTAGCGGCTCTGCAAATGTCCATCAGGGGAACTCCCTGGAGGAAGGCAGTTGAGGCTGCAACAGCTCTGGTTGAATGAGCCCTGATAGGGCCAGGCAATTGCTGCTAGGCGATAAGGTAGCAGAGGCGGATGAAACCCGCAATCCACCTTGATAGGCTTGCTGGCGCATAGGAGATGAAAAGTTGAGAGTCATGTCTTGTTGGATGGGTTCTGTTTAGGTAGAACAGAAGCGCATGTTTCATATCCAAGGTGTGTAACAGAATTTTAGGTCGCAGGTTGCGAGCGGCTCAAAAGGTTTCCTGGTGAGTTGGTGAAGGACCAGGGGAAGGTCCCAGGGGACGACAGGAGTTTTGATGGGAGGGTAAAGGTGCAACAGTCCCTTCAAAAAACATTTTGAAAGTGGATGCGAGAACAGTGTGCATCCCTCAACTTGAACATGGTAGGCCGAAAGTGCAGCCAAATAAACCCTTAACAAGGAATGTGAAAGTTCCAAGTCAGCGAGAGACAGGAGGAATTCGAAAACTTTCTCGAGACTTGCGGAGGTGGCTCGAGGGGCATCGTCACCCAGAGAGGAACAGAATTTTTGCCACTTGTAATTATAGGACTTTTGTGTAGTGGACTTCCAGGAGTTTAGCAAGACATTTGCTATGCGAGCAGAAAAGCTGTTGACGCTACTCTCCAGGCTGTCAACTTCATTTGTGGCACGTCGTGGTATAGGAGTGGGGACTCGAATAGGAACAGAAGGTTTTGTGCTGGGGGAAACTGCTGGTAGACCCCCGCTGACAGATTGAGGATGGTTGAGAACCATAGTTGCCTCGGCCACCACGGGGTTATGAGGACGCAGTCTGCTCTGTTGCTGATGATTTTGCGGACCACTCTCAGGAGCAGAGGCAGTGGAGGGAAGAGGTAGAGAAATCCTCTGGACCACGGATAGAGGAGACCATCCCCTAGAGACTGTGGGTCCCTGCCACCTCGGGGGCAGAACAGAGGGCACTTTTTGTTCGCCCTGGTGGCAAAAACATCTATCTGGGGGAACCCCCACCTGTGGAAGAGTGGAAGAAGGAAGGTTGGATTCATTTCCCACTCATGGAGACTGAGTCCTGCCCAACTCAGGTGGTCTGCTTGCACATTCATGTGCCCTGGGATGTGCGTGGCGACTAGGAAGATGTTGTGGGCAATGCAGAAGTCCCATAACTGGAGGGCGAGGTTGCAGAGGCATTGGGAGATGGTGCCCCCTTGCTTGTTCACATAGCTGAGGGCAGTAGTATTGTCCGTGAGGACCATGACACATTTCCCCTCGATCAGGGGCAGGAAACTGATGACAGCGAACTGTATCGCAAGCAGTTCCAGAAAGTTTATGTGCCGCTTTCGTTTTTGAGTGTTCCATCTGCCTCTGACACAAAGTCCCATCATGTGAGCGCCCCAGCCTGAGAGGGAGGCGTCTGTTGTTAGGGTCATTTGGGGTGATGGAGGATGGAAGGGTGCTCCCTGGAACAGATTGGAAGGGACAGTCCACCAAAGTAAAGACTCTCGTACTTTGGCAGGTGGGATCAGGAGGGTGGTGTGTGTGTCTTCCATTGGATTGAAATTGCGGATAAACCACAATTGTAGGTGACACATTTTTAATTTGGCAAAGACCAGGACTGACATAGTAGCAGCCATAAGGCCAAGTAGCCTTTGTATTTGAAAGGCTGTCACTGAAGGCCGGGAACGGACTACAGTGGCTAGGTGGACGATGTCGGCCGCTCTGTTTTGTGGCAGGTAAGCCGTGCAATTCCTGGAGTCCAGTAGCGCACCGATGTAATGTATCTTCTAGACCGGTTGAAGTTGAGACTTTTCTAGATTTACTTGTAGACCTAGGTTTTCGAGGAGGACCAACGTCTCATTGATGTTTGAGACTAGAGCGTCTTTGGAGGTAGCCACCAAGAGCCAATCGTTGATGTAAGGGTATATAGATACCCTTGAGACGGAGGAAGGCCGCGACAACTACCATAGTCTTTGTGAAGACTCTTGGTGCACCTGAAAGGCCGAATGGGAGGGCTGCATATTGGTAATGCTGTTGACCAATTGCGAAGCGTAGGTATTGGCGGTGGG